AATTTTATTTAGCAGTGAAAGGAAACCGGAGGACCCGGAGAAAACCCACGAGGTTGGACAGGCGATCCTACTCCTTGTCACGTACAACCGGGGAATCGGAACCACGCCAGTTGACTCAATGACAGACCTTATGATACAGCGCGCACGTGCTAACCATTCGGTCATCCAACCACCCATATTTTTTTTTAAATTATCGACAGTGTCTGACACTGACTGCATGATTCATCCCACCCGATAGACTTGACTCACGCACTTCTTAATGCGCTGCATATAGTCAGGAACCCTGTGACATCAGACACTTTGACAGAATGGCATATAATTACTTTCTTATTATGCAACCTGTTGAAATGGTTTCTATTTAACAATGTGGCATGTTTAACTAGGCTATTGACATGGTTACCATACTATATAATGTAAGTTAATTGTTAACAGTTAGGTTACATTTCACTAGAAAGTATATTACATGGTGTCATTTCCGTTCATGACTTCCTAGTATTACATACAATCAGATTAAAATTAAAAATTAGACCACAGTTTCATAAAAGATAAGTTTATAATCCCAACCTTTAAAGTGCTAATAAGATTTCACATATAAATATGTATACATTAGATTAAATATCCATATCAATTTCAAAACGATATATGGATTATTGTAGCCCCTTAAAGTAGCTAAGTCTCTAACTGAATATCATCCAAAGTCTTTGCCATTGAAAACAGGTATTATTTGTCAATTTAAATTAACATAGATGTCGTGATCTTACCGGGAAAAGATGGGCTTCTGATATCCAATATTTAAGACAAAATAAAAATTTTACCATTGGTACACGAATCGTGTACCATAATGCGTTTCAGTGCCATTTGTAACAAGGGACTCGAAGAACGAGGCTAGATATATTCCACTAGTCATGTCAAACGGTAACCACATATTCTTATCTGTAAAGCATGCGCAATAAATACTATCGCTGTAGACTGGAATAACCAGACGCTAGAGATTGGCATTCGATCAAGAGTACTGGCGTATTTCACCGAACATAACCGATTAGAAATTACAGTAAAACCTGAAACGATTGAATATAAATCAGTTTATATATATTCATATTACATTATTATATGCGCTGCTACCCATTTCTGTTAATTTCTTGGTCCAGAATATTAGTTATTTAGCTCCTTTAATATACAACCTTAGTCAAAAATGAGCAAATAAAAATTGAAGGAACTAAACGAAACAATCACTTTTCCTCCTCGCTCTTATTTGCTTACAGGAAATCATCATGAGACGAGTTAAAGATTTTACCAACTGCTAAGTTATAGCAATCGCCATGAAACGCAAAACAGCAACAAATCACATAACAAGGAAACAAACTGTCCTACAAGCATTAAATAGTTTAATTAAGGATAGTAATAATACGATTCTGTTGGCACCCGATCTACTTGAAGGGAACTACGTCAGAACAAAATATCCACCATTTAGCAAATGCGAAATGGTTATATATTCAAATTTTATATTTATTTACGCCACAACAAAAATATCCACTATTCATCTGTGGTACTTTTGATGCCGATATCGATTTTACCAGGCCCGGATTATGGGGTGTGTGTGTGTGTGGGGGGGGGGGGTGTTTCAATCAGGGGTCTCCAAAATTAATGGGTCCATCAGATTAGCTCTAAAACACATTTGGTACCATAAATAATTATGCCATTTATTATGTTGTATTTTGTTTGTGCCAAATAAATCCATCTATCTACAAAACTGACCTACAGATTACATTTGCGTGATTGTGTTGTACAGAATCAGAATATGACCCCTTTTCACTGTTTATGAAAGAACTCCTTGAGAAAGAATTCCTTGACATTTTTATTCAGGGCACCCTTACAATTTTAATCCGGTCCAGGATTTTACAACCGGAAACTATGGTAATATGGTATTATTTGTTACAATTTTAATCTAAAACACACCGGTAGATATCTAGCATTAAAGATACATTAGATTAAGATAAAGAGCTGACCATTCTTCTTGCTATAATAGCTCAAAAATAGATAATGCAAAGAGAAAATGTTGAAAATTTCATTCAAATTACTTCATTCTGAGCCAAGTTCTCACTGTTTGTAGTTTTGACAAGATGTGTGCATAGTGGTAACCAAGGCATTGGTATAATCGAAACTTAGCCTCGCTTTCCCATTTTTAAATTAAATTTTTAAATGGCGAACCGTTTTAATCCAGTTAAAATCTCGAGTATCCGATGCCATCGAGAGTTGATTATGGTGTTGTTTTGTTAATTAATGTCTAATAAATAGTTTATATAACATTTCAGGACTAAAGAAAGACATGCAATAGGCAGATTTAACTCTTGCATAATGTATGTTTAATCTCGTTTTTCTTCATAATTTGAATAAAAGTGTTACTTCAAAACAGTTACAATGGTACATTAGGTTTTCACATTTTATTGTTATAATGTGACATATATGTAAGCTAATGAGAAAACAATGTAATTATAGGAAGATAAATAGATAAGTATCTTGGTGATAACTCCACATGTGTCGCAGTAGGGTATTTGTATATAGTTTAATAATAAGCACGAGAGGAACACATGTCAGTTAAGTATACAGTACATAATAATATATAAACACTTGGTTTTAATAGGAAATACATACCATATGTAATATTATAAACCTTTCCCACCATACAAATTAGAAACCCAGAAACATTTTTGTTTTATTATAGACGAATTAATCATCCTGCCTTTATAATTCAATAATATTCACAGTTTGTGATCAATCTGTCGAGATCGGGTTTTAAAAGGTAAATACAATGTCAATTTAACGGGTGGAAGCGGACGTAAAATACAACTAACTACTACTATTCAATTTAACGAATTAATAATGGGCCTTGAATCCGTCGTTAAACCACATCTTTTACGTGCACGCCAATATGTACACGGCACGTCGGTTTTTCGTCCCACGACTAGACAGCTGTCCTTGTCAGGCCTACACGCAAAACAAAACCGATAAGCCTGCAGACAAGACAAACTATATAGACATGGCTGGGAGGGGGGGGGGGGTAGCCGAATCGTTAACGCGTGTGCGTTTGACATTGAGTCAGTCAAGTGGCGTTTGTGCATGACAAGAAGCAGGATCGCTTGTCCATACAGTAACGGTTCTGCCCGTCTTCATTAGCCCAGTATAGGAGCAGAACAGTAGGACGTTAAACCCCATTTCATTTCATTTCTTATCTATTATTTGTGGTGCCGTGAATATATCCTTTTGCTAATTCTAAAGATGAAATTTAACAATACCCATCCATACAATCCCACATTACAATTCATTAAAAATTATTTCGTCAATGGTTGCGAGCATAAATGTTTGATTGTAAACTATTCAAACTAGTTGGACCAGAAAAAATATAGTTGTTGCTATATTTTCAAGATATTTCAAACCAAGCGTAACAGAATGATCCTGTCGGGAAACGAATACATGATCCCATACATCTCTCCCGATTGAGATGGGGCTGGATGGCTGAATGGTTACCGCATGTGCATTGCATTATAAGGTATTTCTTTGAGTCAACTGGCGTGGTTTCGATTTCCCAGTTGTACGTGACAAAGAGTAGGGTCGCCTGTCCAACATCGTGGGCTTTCTCAGGGTGCTCCGATTTCCTCCTACTGCTCCGATATCCTCCTACGCGCATACGAATTATTGAAATAAAATTGAACCTTATGCTGTGCAGTCCCGGGCCTGTAATGATGCAGGTTTCACGCAAAATGAAAAAAAAATATATTTACAAGAAAACCTAACAGAAAAAAATGCGACCGATCTTGACGGTGATCGTCTCTTGGATGGCGATAGTGAGTCTACTATTGAACGCCATGAGTTAAAACGTCAAACAATTTGAACAATAAGGGCAATAATCCGGATAGAATCTCGGAAAATGATAAAAATAAAAAAAATAATAAAGTGTAGTTATTGGGGTTTGAGGGTGCGTGTAGTGTAGCTGATGGGGAATGGTGTGAAGGTAGCCACCAGTTACTGCAGTATCTGGATTATGGTGACAATTCCTTCACTGGGCCCCACTAAGAGCTTTATTTTCCAGAAATCCCCGAAGAGGGTCGTTTAACCTCCACTTTTATATCGCATATTTCAATAAAATCTATAGCCATTAAATGCCAACTATCCAAAGACAATCAAATTCTCTTTGAAAGTACGGAAAAATCCAGGACATATATAAATCTATATTATTCAATTTATCTATAAGAGCAGATGATCTTCTACTGTCTAGTCATTCAGATAAGACGAAAAACCGAGATCCCGTGTACACATTGACGTGCACGTAATATACCCCTTGACAGTTGGAATTCGATATAAGAGTAGGCCGTAGTGCCGCTGTCCGGGCAAAATTACCCTCATAGCACACTGTATGGCGTATGTCCGTCTTCATTAGCCTTGTTTGGAGCAAAACAGTAGGACGTTAAACCCCATTTCATTTCATTTCATTTTTACTGTTGAACAACAGAAAGTATCAAATACTGGTTCTCTTGTAATTACTAAAATAAATCTGTTAATATCTCTTTCTGGACTCACGTACGCCGTGGAATTTTTTAGCCTACTAATAAGACGTGGGGTCGTGTTTAAAACGTTGAATATCAGGTTCCGTGTAGATAAAGCACTTTATAGTTTATAACTTCTACTTAGTTAGTCATGTAGTGACTTCAGTTAACAACAGAATAGACTATTGTTTATTATTCTAGTCATAACTTATGTAAGCTTATACATTAACTGAAGTATCTATATTCAGCCTGCCCTTGATGCATTTAAATTATCCATTTGTCGAGGGGTTTATACCCTACTAACTTACATCAGAAGCAAGGTATTTTACGTAACCCTATTTACAAAGAAATGAAATGGGGGTTTAACGTCCTACGTACTGTTTTTCTCCGAACTGGGCTAATGAAGACGGTGATTACAAAGATGTTTGCATTTATAGTGTAGTGTGAAGTAATACTTACGTAAATTTGGAGGTTCCAGAGCACAAAATTTCTTAATTTTCACACGACGTCTTTTATTATTTACAAATTTTGATTGATTCCAAGTCAACAACACATTATTATTATTATTATTAACATTTGTATTATGATTAATATTATTATTATTATTCCTGCTATTAATTAAAGATATATTGCTTCGTATATGGGTATTTTGTAATGAATTAGAAACACTAGTTCGTCTCTGGTTCTCATCACTGTTATCATACTCGTATAATTCCAACTCGCGATCGGGGCGGTTTTTACTAGAACGTAACTCCATAGCTTCGTTTGTAGCCCTGAGAATCATATTCACGGTTCTGCTAGCAAATACTTCACCCCGCAAAAGTTCATCATGCCTCTCGATACTCGGCACATTTTGTCTCATTAAGGCAGCGATGCTCTTTTCAAGTTGCCTTAAATCCTGCCTATTTCTGTTACTATGTCTAGGTCTTGCTGCTCGTTGAAACCGTCCATTAAACTTGTGGTGCACCACCAATATTTGGGAGAGGGTAATCATTACCAGAATTACGCATAGAGCTAATATAACAACCTCTCCCGATACAGGGGGGTTATTCTTGTGTCGCTTGTTCATTTTGGTTCCTCCTCCCTGCCCTACTACCGTTCAAATGGTTTGTAGAAGGACCTAGCCATTTTATAACACCATTCCAAATCAATTCACTAACAAGCCACATTTTTTAAGCGCAAGCGTACACATAAGTCCTCACCGAACACATGTTTACAAATAACTGTAATATATACCAGAAAGCAGCCTCGCTTTCAATAACGGTTGAAGACCGGAGTTACTAATCCGACTGAGATGGGAAGCATGGCCGTTAAATAAAATGTTTCTTCTGCGTATATGATTTAAATGAAATATTGAGACAGTTGTTATCACGTAAGACTAATTTAGCTGTCATCCATTCCTATTTGTCGCTTTAATAATGCTGTTATGGTGCTATTAAACAGCTACATCCCACTCAATCCAAGAGCTTGATAATGATTATATCTCTGCTGCACCAATGTTAAAAGATTCTATATACATGGTTATTATAGCGCCTTTGGGTTATATAGTATAATATACTACAGATATTTCCTTGTTACTATAAATACTTCAATACTTTAGAATTGACTGAAGGTTCTTCCTCATTGTTTGATTATGGGAATATTAAAATGTCGGTGTACATTAAGCGGACAGCTTGAAAATCAATTCCACGCGTTGACCTAAACTCGATGGGAGCCATAGTAGGAAGGAATCACTGTCTTACTGGCCGAGTCGATCAAAACTTGAATAGCTCACATTGCCTAAATCAATACAGTCGCTAATGTGAAATATTAAGCTGTTACCATGGCAACAAGACCCGCCAGTGGTTTGTGTAACGCTCATTTTCGGAATTTTTCACTGAAATTATGTAAAGAATTAACACTATTTAATTATTGAATGTAAATTAATATAACATTAATATTATAGTCAGTAGTCACAGTATAAGAAGAAATTGATTTAACACTCCGTGGCTTGGTGCTGGGACTACTTATAACTGGATCGTGTAACTGTAAAATTAACACTGTAATATTAACGAACCCCACGTGTACTTAAATATGGGTTCCTTTCAGTATCATTTTGACAGTTATATACACAAATTGCGTAATGTGTCATAATAATTTAATAAAGTTTTGAGATAGCGGTGAAATACAGAGAGAGAGAGAGAGAGAGAGAGAGAGAGAACTCGACACAAACTAGGTCATTTCGGGATTAACACATAGTTCAATTTTATTTCAATAATTAGCTTGTGCGTAGGGGATTGTAGCAGTGGGAGCAAACCAAAGGACCCGGAGAAAACCCACAAGGTTGGACAGGCGACCCTACTCCTTTTCACGTACAACCGGGGAATCGAAATCACGCCAGTTGACTCAATGACAGACCTTATGATACAGCGCGCACGGTGCTAACCATTCGGCCATCCACCCCTGGTGAAATACAGACAAGGAAAAACAAACTATAGCTATATAAGCATGGTTTATGATATTTAAATAAAACTTATACAAGTTTGCAGGCTATTGCTGCGTTTTTATTATACCTAGGAGATTTAAAGGCCAATATTACAAGTGATAGAACTTGTTGAACACATTTCAAATATAATTTTAACACAAAGATCATTGCTACGGTAGATGAGTAAGGAAGATTTGAAGAAACGGGAAGTGACGTAAAAAATGGAAAACGCGAGTTATCCTTATATATAATTGACTGAAGTAAGGAGCGATATCAAATTCGCGGCAGATTTTCAGCCCACAGCAAAAAGCTGTTATGTTAGACTGTGAGAGGATCTAACAATTCATAAAAAGAATTGGGAGCCACGGTGGCTAAATGGGTAAGACGCTGGCTCGCTAGCCGGGAGGTGGCGTGTTCGATCCCTGCATTAGCCGAGAATATTCATCGGGATTTTGTTACTTGGTTTCCCCTTGTCAGTGGTGCACGACGGAGAGCCTGAGAAGGACAGCTGTCTAGTCGTTCGGATGGGATGAAAAACCGAAGTCTCGTGTATACATTGGCGTGCAAGTAAAAGATCCCTTGGCAGTTGGAATTCGAGTAGGCAACATTGCTACTGCCCGGGCAAAATTTCCCCCATAACACACTGTATGGCGTATGGCCGTCTTAATTAGCCCTAAACCCCCTTTATGTATAAAAACAATTGACTGTCACGAGAAGAAAAGAAAAAAAAAACGTGCGTTACCTCGTTTTTGTTAATTAAGTCGAGAATGAATAAAAACAAGCACGGACTTTTTCTATTTTTCTCGTTTTCTCTTTTCTCAAAATCGACCGTGAATCTGTTATCGCTTGTTTATACAACATAGAAAGCAATAATACATCAATACGTCCACAATATATAATGTTAACCACCATTTTAACCACAATACATGTATATGATTATAATGTTAACCACAATATATAATAATAATATTAAATAACTGTTAAATTAAACGGAAACCAGGGTCTGTATTCAAAGGTTTTCTTCAAGTTAAGTAAAAATACTTAATTTTTCCACTGAGTGTGTTAAGTTAAATCGGTATTCAAAGGCTTTATTTTACATATTATATACTTGATTATGTGAAAAACTTAACTGCACGCTTACATTATGGAATACTCAAATTCGCCAAAAAGCATGAAATTTTAACCCTCCACTGCTAAAAGTCACCAATTTCTATCATCACGTGCAAGTTATGTCCCCTTAAGAGGACCCCTTTACTCTATTAAAATTTTAGTTTACATTACTTGGAAAATGTTTGTCGAGATATTATATTGTAACGCATGAAAAATAGTATGATTATAATTTATGATAAATTATGATAGTATGCATCCTTTGCCGGAAGGAGTTGTTTTCCTAGATTTAAAAAAAAAATTCTATTTCAATAGATTACAATAAATAGTGGTAGTATACTGGTGGATATTGTTAACTTTATTATTTTAAGAATAGAAAACAGGATATTAGCAATACACAAGGACCCTTGGCTTTTAAGTTAGACTAAACAAATCATTCGGTGTTGTTTATTAATCGGTGAATCACGTGGCTAAGTGGGTAAGACGCTGGCTCACTAACATGGAGGTCGGGTGTTCGATCCCTGCATTGGCCGAGAAAGTTCATCCAGATTTTCCGGCGTGGTTTCCCCTTGTTAGTGATGCAGGACGAAGGGCCTGACAAGGACAGCTGTCTAGTCGTTCGGATGGGACGAAAAACCGAGGTCCCGTGTACATATTGGCGTGCACGTAAAAGATCCCTTGGCAGTTGGAATTCGATATAAGAGTAGACCGTAGCGCCGCTGCCCGGGCAAAATTTCCCTCATAGGACACTTAATGGCGTATGCTAGTCTTCATTAGCCAAGTTTAGGAGCAGAACAGTAGGACGTTAAACCCCATTTCATTTCATTTGTTTATTAATCTATCATTTGAGAATTTCATAGACATTGTGGAAGTACACCTTAGATTCTCAGAGGCCTGGCGTTGACGGTACATTGCGTGTATGAAAGATGTGTGTTACATTATTTTTTACCCTAATAAATACCACCGATTAACTTCAGATATGTATACATGGGAATGCCTTGCACAAAATAAATCATGCCTTGCTTCTCGCTGTAGTATACATATTTTCTGAAATCTACAACGACATGTCATCACAAATGAATTTAACGCATCAAACTTTATTATACGAACGTGATAAATGATCGAAAAAATTATCCTTGACCATCACATGTCATCACAAATGAATTAAACGCATCAAACTTTATTATACGAACGTGATAAATGATCGAAAAAATTATCCTTGACCATCTCGGTGGTAGTAACCTTATAACTCAATACACATAAAAATTCTTATCACAGATCGTAAACGTCATATATCACTGGGTGACTTGGATCAAAGTCGACATTGACTTGGATCACTGGATAATTACAGTTGCTGAATGTGTAACACCACTGGATATTGGATGACTGGAGAGTGGGAGTTACTGGCTAAGTTCCGTCACTGGAATATATAATTATTTACTTATAATGAGATGCTATACACAGAAATACATCCGCTGGGTAGATATTTCGTTGGACGACTGAGATCACTGGATGAATAAATTCGTTGGATCACGGAAGTTACTGGATGACAACAATCGCTGAATAACTAACGCAATTGTATTATTGGATTCTGGTTTAGTGAACCTGCTGGGTGACTACAGTCATTGGAATATGTAATTATTTACTTAATCAACAAGTTCGACCCCGTCTAGCAGTGAGAGAGAGAAATGGGGTTTAACGTCCATTCGACACAAACTAGGTCATTTCGGGACTAACATTAGGTTTAATTTTATTTGAATAATTCGCTTGCGCGTAGGGTTCTTTAGCAGTGGAAGGAAACCGGAGGACGCGGAGAAAACCCACGAGGTTGGACAGGCGACCCTACTCCTTGTCACGTACAACCGGGGATTCGAAACCACGCCAATTGACTCAATGACAGGCCTTATGATACAGCAAGCACGTGCTTACCATTCAGCATTCAGCTTACTCCGCGAGTCGTTCTTTCGCCCACCCCCTTTAACGTAATGCTCAACGATACCCTCAAGACGCCCTATCTAGATGCAACGATCGAATTAGTAACATATGTAGATAAAAGTACGATTTGGAGGGTAGTGAGATCTTACGGAGCCCTCGATAAGTTCGTGAATTGACCAATCGACTGGAGGGGGGGGGGCAAAGTTTATGAGAACAAGACAGTTGAAATGCTAGTATGCAAAGAAAATGGCTTAAACATAATGATCCCGCCCAAGAATGAGAAAGGTGTCGAGATTAAAGATGTCACCAAATTTCTTGGAGTAATCGTTGATGTTGATCGATGTCTAAAGCTATAGACCATACTTATGATGGCGTGTCGTTCTCTCTAGTGCGATCTGTATTACTACGGCTCTTTATTCATCATGAACAGAACGCCAAGCTTCTTAAACGTCATTCAATATAAAGCTATTTGTATTGCGACTGGAAGAACGTCTACGGGAAGGTGGAGAGTTGCCACCCTTGACCTTGACCTTGACGTATTAGATGTTTGAAGCCTTGAATCACTCCAATTAACTAAACTTGCATTCTGTTGTTGTGGCATGCGTGGAACTGATACGTGTGGCAAAAGTTAAAAACAACATGTTTACATAGTTTAGGACTGGCAGGTTGGGTTGTAGACACTTGCCAGTTATTTCCAATGACCATCGAGTCTGCTTTTGAAGCTGTTCACAGATGGTGCTCTCACCACGGCTTCCGGGAGGTCATTCCACATGTTGACCACTCTCTGAGAAAATGTTCCGCTGCGAACATCTAGCCTACAGCGATGTTTGTTGATCTTAAGACTGTTCCCCCTTGTTGCGCGGTCACTAGTGATCTCAAATTTAGGTCGATCTGAAACGTAGATCCCATGGATATACTTGTACAGGTCGATCATATCACCTCTGTTTCTGCGATGCTCCAGAGTGG